TGCTCAGCCCCTCCTAACACAGACCTCTGGTTGTTGCCCTTGCAGAACCCTACCAACTTGGATTTTTTGCATATGGCCTTATTCAAAGTAAAATTCCAGACTATGCTTGCAGATACAATTTGGACAAAACCGAAGTCTACAGTAAGTACCAACCTTTGTGCCTGCAAGTGACACTCTTCCCACACCGCACCTCATTCCCTCAGCCAGCTAAGACTTCAAACCCCTTGCTGGCTATTCACTGTGGACCATGTGAGGATAGAGGCAGCTTGGACAAGTGGAAGGAAGGACCTGGCTGGGGAGCCTGGCCACCTTTTCCTTCATATGCAAAGCCAGGAAGTAATCAATCTCCCAGCACAGTAGGAGTATCTTGGAGCATGTCTTACACCTTTCAAGGCTGGGTTTGGGGTAGATGGCCTCCCTCATTGCTGTACTCCCCTAAACCTTTCTCAGCTCTCACTTCCCTTGAGAGGCAAGGACCTGAATCGCAGGAGTCTGCTGGTGGGGTGTGGAGGCAGCCCCAGGGCCCTGAGTCCGTGTCAGGTGCGCTGGTAGCTCTCCCAGGAGGGTGTGGTCACCTTGGATTGAGAGAGGATGCCAACTGCCAGGCCTGGGCCCTGGAATCCTGGCTCAGGCCCACATTATGTGTGTGACCTTGACCAAGTGAGTGTTCTGTTGTCAGCCTCTATTATCTGTACTATAAAATGGGACCAATATGGCAGGTGCACTAAGCACTGTCATGTATGTAAAGCTGCTATTTGGAAATACTCAGGCGTCAGGTGTTCCTCCACGATGGGTTTGTGACCTGAGGAAGCACACAGCTGGGGCAGCATCTGTGTCCTCAGCGCTGAGGTCCCTCGGTGCTGATGTGGGGCTGATATCCCCACCCCACAGAGTGCTTGGGGACAGTGAGACTTTCTGCTTCCCCCTTGACTCTTCCAGTAAGCTCCCTGATACATTGGTTTGATATAATTAGATCATGTTCAATGATGTCTCATTGCAGGGCCATCTGGTCAACCCAGAGCAGCCCCTCTCACCCAGCACATTTCTGGGCCAGCTCACCTTCTTCCATGGGTGAATAGAATGGGCAGGACTCTGCCACTGCCACACTCCTGCACCACACAGTGTGTAGATGGCTTCAGGGAGTTAGAATCCTCTTGGTCTGTATTTTTTTTAAGAGTGGTTAGGAGCTTAGAAAATCATTTACATGGAGAGCTAATGTTTACTGAGCGCCTATGACATCAGTTTGTGTGCTAAGTGTGTTATATACATTATCTCAATTAATTCTCAAAAGACCTGTTGTTATTCCTTTGTTTGGATCTGGAACCAAGGGAGGGGTGATTAACGTGTTTGCCCAAGGCCAGGAGTTGGTGCATCAAGAGGGGGAAAGAGGACACGGGTGATCTGATTGCCAGGTCTGGACCTTCCGCCTTAGCGATAACAGTCCTTGAGTGAAGCTAGACACAGCCTATCCTCCAAGAAGTGTGTTCAGATGTTTCCTCTGCTCCTCAGCAGTGTTGTTTCCCCACCCTGGTGTTTCTCTCTGAGGTAGACCCGCAGCAAGTCTCACACAGAACAGCCCATCCCATAGTCCTGGGCTGCCTTGCTGATCACCCCGCTGCATGTAGTTGGAGGCTGGCCAGAAGTGGTGGGTCAGAGCTGTTTATTGCCCTGATGCACCAGTGAGGTTTGATTTGGTCTCTAATTGTATTTCCCTCTTATTAAAACACCTGGGAAAACATTTTAGTAAATATGGAAAAGCATAACAAGTTTTAAATCAGTATTTCTATGTTTTATTATCAATCTTTAGTGTATTGTGGTTTTATATATTAACAAATCTTTAAAATATGGCGACGGAGGTATTTGGTTTAATCAGTTAATACTGGTTAGAAAGCTCCTCCCCCGTCAACCATGCTTTTCTGGCCCCTCTCCTTCTCGCTGCTCTGTGAACTCTGTGGAAAGTTCATCACATTTCCTTGGGGTTCTTTTCACAGTAATCCCAGCCATCACACCCCTCAGGCACAAATGCTTTCCCTCACGCATACTTGGTGATTAGTTTCATTGTCAGCACTCGTGAAAGGATAAAGCAGTTCAGAAGCTCATAGCTAGTCTGACAAGTGAGTCATGGCAAAAAGCTGGTCACCTAGAAGTGAACCCTCCTTAGGGAACAGGCCTGACCTGTGGCCACGGTCGGGGGTGTGAGGAGACTTAGGGCTCAGGAGAGAGAAAGTTCCACAGCTGCCAGCTGTGAGCTGTCTGAGCCCCGTGAGTGCTGCCTCCCAGCTCCCCCAGATAACAGAACACACAGCCACACAGAAGCCCTGCCCCCTCCCCAGGCTCCCCTGTGTCAGTAAATGGCACCCCCACCCCCAGGCACTCAGGTCACTTACCTGCACATCGTCCGGATCCCACTTGGCTCCCACCCCCACATCCAGTCCCCCCCGCAGGTCCTGCTGCCTCTGTGTCCAAACGCATCTGGACCTGTCAGCCCCTCGATTGACTCTCTGTAAAGCCCCAACCCCTTCCCGGGGCTCCCGAGGCACTGCCCCTCGCCTCTCACCTCTTTCCCCTCAACCAGCTCAGCTGGTTACACCTCAGGCCTCTGCACAGGCGCCCACAGCCTCGGCCTCTCTCCTCTGGGACTTTCCCTGGCCGTCCCCTCAGCTGGCCTCAGCTCCGGGGCTACCACCTCAGAGAGAGCTTATCTCACTGGGAATTTTCAGTAATATACAAAAGTACAAAAGTTGTACAGGGCACTTGAAGCTGCCTTCACCTACCTTCAGTGATGGTCAACCCCGGCCAGCCTGGTTTTCCTGACCCCTCACCATTGATTATTTTGAAGCAAATCCCAGACATCACATCATTTCCTGTATAAATATTTCACTTTCTCTTAAAGAAAAATTGTCTCTAAAAGACAGGACAGGTCACCTGTTCTTAAACGGCTGTCCCTTCCCCTCTTCATTCTCTGTCCCTTCCCTTGTGGGGGGGGGCACTTTTCATTTTAGCATTTGTTTGTTCATTGTTTGTTACTTTACTGGCTGTCTCCCTCCCCAGTCCCTCCAATGTCAGGCCCTGGAGAGCAAGGCGTCTGCCTGGCTTGTCCCCACTAAACCCCCGAGCCCTGCACAGTGCCTGGTGCACGGGAGGTGTCAGAACAGGGCACAGAAGAGAAGCTGCTTCTGCCAAAGTGTGAGCTCGGCTCGCCAAGGCAGGCAGAAGGGGAGGGATGGATGGATGGACAAGTCCATTGACGTTCTTTCCTTGTGGTTTTCTTTTAGCAAAAAGACCCAACTCTGTGACTCATGAGAAAATAATTTGCGATGGACATGTTTTTGAGAAGCGTGGACAGTAAGTGTTTAGGGCTGGGAGCCATCTGGGCAAGTTTTGCCACCACGAGGAGTCCAGAATGTGGGATGCACCCTTTTCTCAGGCAGCACATGTCTGTACCCAGAAGGGCTCAGGGCTTCCTCCATACCTGCCCTGGTTGGTGGTCCCCTGGGATGCTCAGGGATCTGCCATGGTCCAGGCTCTGCAGAGGAGGGCAGGATGTGTGAGATGATGTGCAGCAAGGATGGTACCTTTGCTCCAGGCAGCTTTTTCGAGTGAAGCCAACATACTCAATAAATACAGAGGAGTCGGGATGGTGACACTGTAGTGCCATCCCTGATCCCTTAGCTCATGGCTGGGAGGTCCTCTGATTCCACACAGGACTCCTCTTTGCCTGGGCAGCCTTCATTGCATTGGTTGACTTGGAGTGCTTGGGGACGAGCTCTCCTTACCCTTGCTGTCTGCTCTCCGGTAGCCCTGAATGCCTGATGTTCAAAGTCATCACAGCGAGGAGAGCTGGGACTACAGAATGAGCCAAGTGTGAGAGCTGCGTCAGTCCCAGCTCCTGGTCACATCTGCACTTTCTGTGCTTTAGGGTGGTTGAGGTTGATTACACTCTGGACCAGGGCAACTCCTTCAGTGAGCGAAAGTTGAAAGTCACCAGCAAGGACTGTGTGAGTAGCATGTTCGGGCTTCAGCCTCCCTCCAGGGCTATCCAGAGAATCTGCTCTTGAGGGGCAGATAACCAGGGGATGCAAGACAGGGGAATAAACTCACTAGGGAAGGACCAGCATGTAGCCTCTGCAGACAGGCACCTTGGGCAGCATTTCACAGCCAGCTCAGTGCTCTTAGCCCTTTATTGGGGAGTTGTCCCCCAACTCAGGTTTGTGAAATTCCCTGGAATGCTTCTATAAGACTCATGGAGTACAGCCAGCCATCCAGGTCCTGGAGAAATTCTGCTATCTCTGTGAACCAAGTATCGTTGAAGGCATGTGGAAGGGACAAATTAGAGAACAGACTTCAGAAACAGTGCTGAGGCTCTGCCTAACCTGGACACACCTGGCCACCCCCACTGGCCCAGGCCCTGTGATGGGGAGCTCCGAGGTCCATCCTGGATTCCAGCAGGGTGAGCAGGAGAGGCTGGGACACTGTGTCCTAGGAGACAGAGTGCAGGACCTCTGGGACGCTCGGGCCCTCCAAATCGGGTTCCCAGGCACAGGGGTTGGGAGGACTGGACCAGCTGTGGCCGAGCACAATCAGGGACTGTTTCCACGTTGGTGAAGCAGCTGGGAGGGCTCTGAACCCACTCCTGACCATCACAGCCCCCACCTCCTGAGCCTGTCTGGAGACACTGGCTGTCACTTTGCTGATGTCATCAGCCACCCTGTGCCTCTCCTCCTCTCTCGTGCTCCTCAGCTGTTCCTCTGTCCTGACTCGCTCTGGTCTCTGCAGAGAGACTCTCTCCTCTGTCGGTGGGGAAGCTGTCACGGCCGTGGGGAGGGCGGGGGTTCATCTTGGGGAGAGGAAGCTGGGAACACAGGGATGCTCACCTAAGACCCACTTTTCCAAGCTCCACATCACCTGGGCACCTTAGCCCAGGGCTGCCCAAAGCGGACCACAGAGAGCATTAGGCTGGAGTGAGGTTTCCCCGGGGGGGAAGGACACCTGTGCCGAATGGCCACTGCCCTGGTGTCCAGTACCAGCTGGTGAGGGTTCCAACCATGTGACGATCTCCCTGTGTCTGTCTCCCTTGTCCCTGCACATCCCCCTGCAGATCAGAGACTGAACCTACACATTTCCCACCAGGGTCCTACTCCCTGCAGCCGTCCATCTGCAGACACATTTAAGAGAGAACTCAGGAGCAGCCTGGGGCACCGGGCCCAGCACAGGGTCCCCTCAGCCTGACTGGACCTCTCCTTTTGGCCGCCCTATTTCCTGGGCACAGGCTTTCTCTGCCCACATCCCTGCCCTGCTTCTCTCAAGCAGAGCACTTGACTTAGGGAAGGCTGTACAGTGCGTGGGTCCTCGGATGCAGCACACGTGCCCGTGGTTATGAACAACAGCATGAGAACAGATCCCGTTCCTTAAGCCCCAACGTGGGCCTGGCGTGTGCTGGGACTGTCTGCGAGCGCTCTCTGAAGCTCTCAGGTGCCCACCATTTCCTCACTGCAGGTGTGGGGACAGAGGCTCAGAGAGGTGGAGTAGCTTTGCTTAAGGTTGCATAGCTGGAAAGAGGGGGAGAGAGACTACAGAGATGTGATCAGATGTCCTGCCTGTGTTCTTGCACTCCCACCTCTCAGGGGGCCCCAGCTGCCCCTGCCTCATCTGTCTGTGTATCATAGCTCTTTGTGGTCCTCCCAGAACCCCTGTGCTCTCAGCCAAGGCAGGTTGTGAGGACTGGGTTGTCACTGCTTGGAGGACTGGAGTATGGGGGGAGCCACTGAGCCGGGGCAGTGGTGTGGTCTGTGGCCCAGCGCTCCACAGGGGCTCTCTGGGTACTGGCTCTGACCCCCTAGCCCTACTGTGGTCCCCCTAGATGAGGCAGCTGGAGGGGAAGGCTGTGCCCACGTCGTGGGGTCTACTGTGGGAAATGCATGTTGGTTGCACAGGAAGAGGTCCCCCAGGCCCACCCCAGGACTTTGGCATGTGTGCCCTCTGCAGCTTCAGCCTACAGAGCCCACGACAACAAAGACAACCACAACGACAACAACGACCACAACAACCACAACCACGACAACCACAACCACCACAACGACCACGACCAAGACCACGACCACGACCACAACCACGACCACACCAATGACCACAAAAATGCCAACGACCCCTACGACCCCTACGACCCCAACGACCACAACGACCACCACAGTTACTACCGTTCTCACAACAACCACAGTGACAACAGTTGTCACGGAGCCTGAGGTTGTTCCAGAGGAGGAGACCACAGTGGCCATTATTGTCACTGAGAGCCCGGTTCCCAGCAGTCCTCTCTTGTGCCTTGCGCTCATCCCATCCTTGCTCATGATCCCGTTGCTCCTTGTCTGCATCTGCTGCTGCAAGCGGGTGAGTGACCCCTGCCCGCACAGCCTATGACAAGCCCTCATCAACCCACTGGACCATCAGCCTGAGACACGTGGACCAGACACATGTGTGACCCAAGATCCTGCCAATGGGTTCCCATCAGCTCCGGGTCCTCATACCAGCAAACAAGGCACAGACTGCCTCCCATCCCGGGATAGACACAGCCTGGGCTTCCGGGGGGCCGCCTGCCTCCTGCTTTCACAGAGAGGTGGCCTATGGGCTGTCTCAGCCTCGTGGAGTAGGGACCCCAGGCCCCCTGAGACCAGAGCTGCCTCACAGCAGTCAGGCTTCTGGAGTCTCAGGTGGATCAAGGCTGGAAGGGCTTTTGCTCTTGGGGGAAGAAGAGGGGTCTGCAGGGGCACTAATGGGAGGAGGATGCTAGCATCAGGGGAACTGTGCCTTTGAAAACAACATGGTCCCTTTCCGTCACTCCTTCCTCAGTCATTACTGTGTCACCAGGATGTGCAGGGCCCCAGAAATGAAGCAGCCCCACCCCTGCCCACAGGAGCCTGTGGGCTGTGGCTGGTCTGGTATGGGAACCTGGGAGGCATTGAGGGTAAATGTCACCTTCGGGGGTGTGGCAGGTGTCCTGATAAAGCAGGACAATAGCCAAGGGCAGAGACTGGCCTGGGAGGGAGGGAGGCAGAGGCACTGGCTGGGTGGGTTTGCAAGGACACAGGCCAGAGAGCTGGGTGAGGAAAAGGAAAAAGCAGAGCTGAGAAAGAACACGCAGACCAGCGGAGGAGCCAGCAAGTCAGGTTTCTGCAAAGGGGGAGAAGTGAGGAACGGACGGGGGGAGAGGGGGTGGACTGGCACCCCTGAGGGCTGGGAGGCCGGGGCTGCAGGGGACGGAGGTGAGGGGAGAGGAGGAAGGGGTGGGGGGGTTCTCTTGTCCTCATAAGACGTCAGGGCTGCTCATGAAACTCCCAGGGGCGGCCTCTACTAGGGACCAGCCGCCTTAGTCTGCCTGTCTTCCCCTCCACCCTGCAGGGAGGGACCGATTCCCCTTTGATAACTGAGGAGCCTGAGGCTCAGGAAGGTGGAGCGTGTTGGTTACAAACCCCCAGGCAAAGGACACCCAGACTTACACCCCAAAGCCCTTGTTCTGTCCCCCTGCTGCCGCTGAGCAGGGTCCCCTCCTGTCCTCCTGGCTGAGTCAGAGCCCCACATGCCCTTCCAGCCTATAATTACATCTTTTTAACATCCTAGATCGTCAAGGAGCCACCAGCAACCCAGAAACAAGAAAAAGTAAGTGGAGTATTTGGTACTGATGTTGTCAGCATGCCTGATGCACACACTGACCTGCACAGAGAGGCCTCCTGCCGCCCATGGGGAGACGTCCTCCCCTACCTATCTTGGCAGAAAGAAGGGATGACAGAGGGTTATGGAGGGGCCCAGGTAAAGAAGTGCCACTCAGACAGTATTCCTGTACTCCCAGCATGGCATGATCCAGGGTCTTTGTCACCGAATCAGCAATGCGGCTTAGCCTTTTTCGGAAACTACTATGGTCCCTCCTGAAATAAATGGGCTTTTTGTCAATTCCCAAGGGACTGTTTGTAGGATGAGCCTTCCCCAGGACTCCAGAGCATCCTTTTTGGAAAAGTACCCTCAGGTTTCAGGGATCTGGTCCCCCTTCTCCAGGCTCTGATGTCCATTGGGCTCCATTTCCTTGTCTTCATCTCCATGTCATGTCAGGGGGAAGGTTTTGGCTGGGGGTGGCCTTGAGGGACATGGGGCTGAGGAGGGGGGGAGAGGAGGGCATTGAGCTGTGAAGGGGGCGCAGCCCAGGTGAGCACAGGGGACAGGGGAGCAGGCTGTGGCTCACCAGGGTGGGCGCCCAAACCAGGGCCCATAAGAGGCAGTTGGAGCAGGGGCATGGTGTTCCAAGAAAGGGGACCTAGGCCTGAGATCTGGTGGGAAACAGGGTCACTGCCCAGGCTGGCAACTGCGCTGGTTACAGTATGGCCTGAGGATGCTGGATCTGTCAGAGTCAGGTGAGTACCACCATGTCCCTGCTCGTGACCTGCCACCCCACCCCCACAGCCTCCACCATGTGACACCGCCCCAGGCCCAGCTTCTCCAACAAGGGCAGCTCCGGGAACCAAGGGGACAGGACAGAGTTTGTTGTCCTTTAGAGAAGAGCCATCTTTGTGAACCAGAAGGGGTTGGCATGTTTTTCACACGGAGGACTCTCTCTTACTGTGCCCAGTGCTGCTCATTTGTCCTTGATTCTCCAGCAAACATTCCCTGAGTGACCAGAACGTGACAGGTGCTGGGGCCACAGATGTCATGTCTACAGCCAGGAGCTGCCAGACAAGGAAGCAGACAGGGTTTTCTCTTTCTAGAAACCATGTGCCATACAGCCATGTACCAGGGTGATCTTTCCCCACTGTGAGTGCCAGGAAGACAGCATAAGACCGATGGAGGTGAGAAGGGCCCTTGGGGAGGGAGGGTTCACCCCCTCCAGTAGGAGGTGTGAGGAGAGGGGAGCCAGTTCAAACCACACAGGCTTGGGCCTGGAAGGTGTGGCTTGGATGGAGATGAGCTTTATGGGCATTGGGCTTTGACCATTTGTAACACAAAAAATTCAAAGACCCTCCCTATCCTAGTGGCCCAGGACAGGCCAAAGGACTGAGGGCTCAGGCACTCATCACGTCCAGGGGTCCCAGCACCAGGGTCTCCCCCGTGGATCAGGCCCAGAATCCTGGATATTGGTGGCTGGCTCACAGCTGACAAGTCCCTGGTTTGCACAGAGGTTGTCGTCAGCTCCAGCACTGATTGAGTTGGGTTTCAGTAACCATCAGGTGGGTGACTAAAAACATACCAAATCAAAAACAGCATTACGCAGGTCAGGGGCAAAAAAGAAGGAAAAGAAAGAAAGAAAGAAAGAAAGAAAAGGTAAACTTCTGAGCCACGTCCTAACCGCCATTAAACCACCAGGAGGCGCCCTGCTCCTGCTCGGTGAGGGGAGGAGAGCGCTCACTGCATGGTCCTTGTGGCCCCCCGAGATGGGAGACCAGATCCACAGGGAGGAGGGGCCTGAGGACACTTCATTCCCTGGGGAGTAATGGGCCCATTCTGGTGACTGTGATCCCAGTCCGGCAGGGGGCAAGAGACGACAGGGGTGGAGAGGGTCCCAGTGGCTGGTGGGAGGAAGAAAGAACCCACTATCTGTGCCCAGCTTTGCCCCCCCCAACCCCCCACCCCGCACTGCCCTCCCCCTGCAATACACCCTCTGCCCCAGTCCTGCCTCTGTCCGTGGTCCTATCCACTGGTTCCTCCTGGGAGCTTCAATAGCAGCTGGAGGGCCAGAACCACGTCTCTCCTGACAGTCAGTGTGGGGCACAGAGAAGCCACATCAGCCCTTCCGGAGAGGGAGGAAGCCACCTGACTGGGGCTTGTTCCTGATCACAGGGCCAGGCCCCCACCCCATCCCCCCAGGTCCTCTTTCTTGTCTGCTCTTGGTCCTCTGGAGGAAACTGGTTTGCACAGCAGTCCAGTCTTTTGTTGGACTGGACCACGTGACCCAGTGGTCAGTGACAGGCCTTCCATCAGTCTCCCTGCAGGACATCCAGGCCAGAAGTCAGGAGCCTAATCTCAGCCACCCCCCGCCTCGTTGTCACAACTCCCCAGAGGCAGACAAGTAATGATAAAGTCTCAGAGATCGGGCTTCTTGCTCAAAAAGAAACACGATTTCAGGGTTCATAAGAAAGACTGAGTAGGAACAGTCATTTTTGTTGGAAATGAAGTTAAGGGGATTCATAGACAAGGTAGAGCTTAGGGTGAGTCTTAAAAGGTGAGTAGCAGGCCACTAGGCAAACAAGATAAAGAAGGACACTCCAAAGAGAGGGAATAGCTTATTTAAAACTTAGAAATATAAACTAGTTGTTCCAGGAAAGAGTTTTATCTGATTGCCTGTGTCCTAGGCATCCCAGAGACGCTGTCAGCTTGTCAATGTACCCAGGCTCTGTCACACCAGGACTCTCATCTGGGGACAAGGGGAACATGACAGCAAAGCCAGGGATAGTTGGTGCTACAAACAGACTATGCTGTCTCAAAGGGTCTGCATCAGTCTCTACCCAAAACAGGGGACCAGTGTGTGCTGCTGACTGCACAGTCCATCACCTGTCTGAGGGTGCCCCCACCTGCCCTTGCCCTGCAGGCCCTGAACCTAGCCTGAAGGTTGTGGTGAGGCTCATCCCTTCAGCACACACTCGCCAAGAGAGCCTTGGTGCTGGTGTTAAAGTGGGTGTCAGGCCTTGGCCTTGCTCCCCAGGCTCCCAGTCTAGCAGGTAACAGACAAGTTCAACATCAGAGCAGCGAGAGTCAGAGTCAGAACAATGGGGCTCCCTAGGAGAAGGGAAGGCAGATGTCCAATGCCTGAACAGAGTTTACAAATAAGAGCATAGTCTTGAGGCCAGCACCCAGGGAAAGGAAGGGCATCAGAAAAGCCCACCTTGTGGAGCCTGACAGGTACTGAGCCTCATCCCCTGAGCCAAGGAAACCACAGCCTTCGACTCTCAATTCCAGTGGCTTCTCAGCAACCCTTTCTCTCTCCTCTTCATACAGGGGAGAGGCATCAGCTGCACCTTAATGGAGCGCCACTCCTCGCAAATGCTCTGTGGCCCAAACGTCTGCCTTCCACCCAGCCAGGAGCACTTCCCCCTCAACAGCTGGTGCTCACGTTGTCAACATGCTCCACCCATATGCTCTCAGCCACCCTCCAGGGTACCGCTTCTGATCCCTCCCCGTGCCCTGGAGCTCTGCAGAGCTACTTTGTCACTCCCACCCCCATAGCCCAAAACCCAAAACACCAAAAATATAAAATTGTTAAGAGCCCCTTTTGTACTGATTTGGACATATATATTGTGTCTTGGTTTATAGTCAAAAGGAGTTGGAATTTGCTGCTGATCAGCAAAAGAGTGTTACCTAATGAGCATTGCTCCACTGTATGTCCTTCCAGGACAAAGCACCCCGGTGTCCTGTGGGTGTAGGCGTGATGAGGCCGTTTCCCCACAGACAGGTCCTTATCTTCACCAAGGGACGAGGTGCTTGGGGTTTTCCCCAAAATATGCTCTTTCAAAAAAGCCCCAAATATCTTTGATGTTTGAATACAGTCTGGTGTCCATGACTCACTTGCTGTTACTTAATCTCTTGGACAATTTACTTAATCTCCTTGTGCTTCAATTTCCTCCCTGAAAAGATGTGGATAATAGTGTCCTCTACAGGTTACCTTGAGGGTGATAGTTAACTGCTGCAACATGCTCAGCACAGGGCAACGCTTCTGGTAAAGAAACCCATTTGTTAATGTCTCCCCTCCCTGCACCTGGAGAGGAGAGGATGATGAGCTCAGAGACATCAAGAAGTATGTGGTGAGGACAAGGGTGTCAGAAAAAAAAAAAATCATGACTGCACCTTTCAGCTCTGGATATCAAGATGTGTAGTTGGCACATGTGAGAATTCTATGTAAACTGCTGACCACATGTGGGTTAACATCCAAGGCCAGCACTCATGTAATCTCCAAAACATCATCAAAAAAGTTCCTAATGCCTACTACCTCCTTCAGAAATGTTAGTTCCCTTCTGTTACCTTAATATTTCTCATAATATATAGGCAATTCCTAGTGCCCAATTTTCCAAGCTTTCAAATCAGCTCCTCCATTGACAGAGACGGACCTCCTAATTTTTCAGATCCCTCCTGCAGAAGCCTTAGAAGACGTAAATTTCTCCTTACACACTTGTATACTAGAGGACTATCAATAGACAAGAATTCACTGTGAAAATCACAGAACAGGTAAAAGATGAAGCAACACCCTGGACCACAAAGTCCAAGAAGGGAAGAAGATACTGCTTATTCAGATGTGCACATACCAATGCAACAAATCAGGGACCATGAAAAATCAAGTAAACATGAAATGATGAAAATAAATAAATCTCTAATAATCGTCCCTAGAGGAATAGACGTCTATGAACTGTCTTACAAAGAATTCAAAATAATCCTCTTAAAATAGTTTAGGGAAAAACAAGAACACACAGAATTTCACTATATGAAATTCAGGGGAAAAAATGCATGAACAAAATGAGAAGTTCAACAAAGAAACAGAAACCATCAAAATAATCAATAGAAATCAGAGCTGAAGATTACAATGACTGTCCTGAAGAATACGATAGAGATCTTCAGAAACAAACTTGAGCAAGCAGAAGAAAGAATCTGAACTAAAAGATGGGTCACTTGAAATTATCCTGTCATGGAAGTGAAAAGAAAAAAATTAAAAAGAGTGAAGAAAGACTTTGAAACATCAATAGAAATAGTAATGAATCTGGGGGCCCCATAGGAGAAGAGAGAAAGTATATTTAACCAAAAGGGTTGAAAATTTATAAAACATGGAAAGAGAGATGGACATCCAGATTCATGAGGCCCAAAGGATCCCAAATAGGTTGAACCTCCAATGGCTACAGCAAATTACTTTGCAAGTAAATTGTCTATGGTCAGAGACATAGGGACGTTTGAAAGCAACAAGAGAATAATGAATAATCACATGTAAGTCACACCCATGAGACAAGATGGATTTCTCAATAGAAACTTTGCAGTCCAGGAGAGAGAGAGAATGTATTCAAATATAGAAGAAAAAACCTATCAAACAAATATATGGTACCCAGCAAACCTGTTCTTCAGAAATGAAGGAGACATTGAAAACATAAGAAAACAAATAAAGCTGAAAGAGTTCATTACCAGAAGACTTGCTGTACAAGAAATGCTGTAGGAATTTCATCAAGCAGAAATAAATGGATAATAATTAGCATTGTGAAAACATAAGAAGTTTTTCAAACTCTTCCAAAGAAATGAAGAGGAGGGAACACTCCCAAAGTCACTTACAAGGCCATCACTATCCTGAATCCAAAGCCAGAAAAGGGCATTACAAGAAAACTACAGACCAATATCCCTGGTGAATATAATGGAAAATTTCCCCCCAAAATACTAGTGAACCAAGTTTAGCAGCACCATTAAAAGGATCATGCACCATGATCTAGTGGGATTCTACCCTGAAATACAAGGATAGTTTGACATGCACAAAACAATAAATGCCATACATCACATTAATAGATTGAAAGAAAAAAATCATACGTTCATCTCAATAGATGCAGAGAAAGCATTTGACAAAATTCAAGATCCATTGATGAATACAGACATGAGCCATTAACTCCCTAATATGAGCGTTCACACAGCTTTTGTGATATTATTGAATGTCTAGGGCAACCTTGAAAATAATCTTTCCACTTAGAACTCTGTGTCTAACTGAACTGTTATTCAAGAGTGAGCACAAAACAGATATTTTTAGATGTACAGAACCTAAGTTTAACATCGTCACAACCTCGTTGCTGAAAAACCCACTGACTATTGAGAATAACTGTGTACTGAAAATCACAGGGACGATCACCAATTTGGAGAGTTTTTCTCTTGAAAAGGATGGAGAGCATGAAGTAGGTTGGTTAGGAAGAGTCTCAGAGGGTAGAAAAGTCTCAAGTGAGTTTTAGCCCTGCAGATGGGGAGACTTGGATCCGTCAAA